TTTGCTCCTGGTACTTCTCTGGCAGCAGAGTGGACCGTGGGAGCAAGCCCTTGGTCGTGTGGTCTGCTTCGGCAGACCTGCCGTCGGCCGTCGTCGTTGAGTGCGTAAGCGTTCCTGCGACGTCCCATTAAGACAGGGGAGTTTCCGTTGGGTTTTAGTGTGTAGTACTGGCTTTTCTAGCCAGTTAATCCTACATAACCATCTGTATGTATGTACTACTATAAACTACAACATAAAAAAAGGTCATATTAAATAGGATATAAAATCGGGAAAGTTTGAATGCTGTTGTAATACTTTCGCCTTAATTTCATGCAACATTTACATTTTGTTAATTAAACTAGGCATGTCGAAATGTAGAGCTGTTTGTGTACCGCTTTAATTTAAGTTTAATTAAAAAGTAATTATTTTTATGAATAATCTAATATATAAATATCTCGTGTCATTGTGTTTGTGGTCGCACTCCTCCGGAACGGCTCGACCGATTTTAATTATTTTTTTTTGTATTTTTGGTAGGTATGAGAATAAGTCGTAAAGTATTTTCACCCTTCTACCTCTCACCACCCATTTTTTAATGACGATTTTAGTATTTTTGTATGAACAATGCTATATAAATACATAGCGACGAACCCGAGCAAGCAAGGGTGAGTCGTTGTATAACTTAAAGCCAAAGAGTTTTTTTATATATTGAAATATACTAATACCATTAATATATATTATATGGCTGGGACTGTGTAGTGTATTTATACTTATTTATTTATGTTTCGTGTCTAATAGTCTCATAGCGTGATATTCGATAGCCTATAAATATAATGTTCCTCAATAATTTATATGCTTTAAAATAAAGAAATATTTTTTTATATTCTACTGCTTTATAATATTAAATACGTATTAAGATAAGAGAAAATACTATTTTAATTACTTTTAATCTACGTATTGGTGTTTGAAAAGAGACAAAATTGGCCTAAAAGTATATCTACTCAAATTTTTATTCAATAAGTCTTTTTTATTAAGAACATTGCTTTATATAAACATATAAGAGATACCATATTTTTGACCTTCAAATTCGCACATTCTAAACTTTCTCTCGACTACCACGTCATAGTAAAAGTGATGAGTTTTGCCAATGGGAATTTTGACTGCCAATTTTGCTTTCATTTAATGACTAATGTAACCGGTGTAAATTAATGAACTAAATATTACGTGTTTAGGCTCTGCGTGATATCAAAGTTATATTTACAGTAGATATTTCATTAAGCTTAAATAAAAAAGAAAACATTTCGTAAGCTTATATAGTCTTGAAAATATTTTTAAAAAATTTTTAGAGCACAAACTAAGTTATTTAAGAAATAACCCTTTATATAAATAATACTAGCGGCTCACCCTCGCTTCGCTCGGATTGGCCTCTAGGAAAAACAAACTGTACTTTTTTCTGGGATAAAAAGTAGCCTATGTTGTAGTTAGTTATTCCAGACTATAATCTATCTCTGTGCCAAATTCCATCCAGATCCGTTCAGTCGTTCTGGCGTGAAAGAGTAACAAACATCCATACTCACAAACTTTCACATTTATAATATTAATACGGAATTCTATTTCTAGTTCTTAGGTCTAGCGCCTTAGGCATTGTATTTGTACTTGTTATTAAACTAGATTCCTCTTTTTCTCGTATAATAAACTATCCTGCCAATAGGTACTTGTTCTGCAGATATAAATAATCTTTTTTTAACAACGTAGTACCTATGCTTACATTTTTATTGTATGTATTTAAGTATTTAAATATTGTTTTAGGCTAAGGTTAAATAACGTTGGCAAAATGCCTTTTAAATTCAATAATGTTCTTAGAACAAGATTGTACGTAGTATTGTTGAGATATTTTAAAATATTCTTAATAACATGGCGACTATATTATAACAATAAACCGATATGATCATTATCTTAAAGAAATGTATTATAAAACTTAATTTATATTCAAAAAATATCAAAAAAAAGATAATGAAATAATATTAGTCCCGCTGAGTTTCTTTCGCCAGTTCTTCCCAGGTCTGAGGCTTCTTCTTTCCGAACTGGTAGTAGACTCATGACGTTCAGTAAAAATTGTAATAATTTAATGCTGAATAAAATATTTTGAATTATGAATCATTATCATCAAACTATAAACCGATAGGTATACCGAACTATAAGTGGACGTAGTTATGCAAAATAGATCCAACCACAAAAACTTACTTTTGAGAAAATAGGAGTTTTAGTAAAAATGGTATATTAAAATAACAAGAACGTAGTGTTTTTTTTATTACAACCTGTTATCCAGGTTACTATGAGTCATGTTTCTATTTTAACACTATGAAAATGCTTAATATTTTGTTGGTGTCGTTAGCGTCTGCATGTTTCAAAAGAAAAAAGGCACTTTGCGGCTTGGATATTTTTTGCATATATACTAAAGTTGATATGTAGGTGCCATTTACGACAGTAACTCAAAAAACGGTTTTCGTGGACTGGATCAATTTTGCATAACTACGTCCAATTATACTGTAACTGTAGCTCGTTTTTCGACAGTAAGAGCGTTATAAAATTTTAACATATAATAAAATAAGTACATATTGACTGCCAATAAATCTTTCAAGAATATTATGTAAGCTTATTTTTAGTTATCATCTATGGCTATTCAAATCTAACTATGCAAATAAATACCAGTTCATGCCTACCATAAAATATTGACTAAGGATTATATTTGCACGTACTCGTTAGTTATGCATATGTACATATATGCAAATATTTATCGAGTATATAACATTTAAAATAAGGTTGTAATCTAAGCTTAAGGCAAAGGATTATCATCTTTATTAATCTATACGTATAATAAAATTCTAACCGAGTCGAATTTGTACATTACATATTTTTTTCGAAAATCTTATTGAAATAGTCATTATTATCGATATAGAGGCTGAATCTATAGTTTTTAGAATTTTTGTCTGTATGTTTGTCGGTCTGTTTGTCTGTTACCGCATCACACAAAAACCACTGGAGGGATTTTGATGTTTGGTGTGGGGGTAGCTGGTTATCCGGGTCAACATATAGGATACTTTTTACTGCGGAAAAATGTCTCATTTCTGAGAAAAAATACAAAAACTGTAATGTACGAGTATAAGCGTATACTGATATGTAAAACCTAAGAATTTGGTTTTTGGTCACCTGAACGCGGGCGGAGCCGCGGGCAATGCTAGTATTAGTATATAATATATATAATAAGATTCATCTCTATTTTAAGATTATTATGTGTAATTTTATACTTACCACTTACATACGCGATCTTTACAAAGCACCCGCTTCAGTCCTGTTATTCTGGCAGAAAAATGTCTACAATACCATCGTTTTAAGTAAGTAAAAGCAAAAATTTACAATAAAATAACATCGACGGTACTGAAATGTACGTGAACTTAATAATAACTGAATACGCTATCTCATTCGCGTAATGTAGTAAGTGCTTGCACATCAAACTTTATATAAAACTAGCACATTGCCTGCGGCTCCGCCCGCGTTCAGATGACCAGAAACTAAATTCTTAGTATACTCTTACAATGCAGTTTTTGTATTTTTTCTAAGAAATGTTATTTTTTCGGGGTAAAAAGTATCATATATGTTGACCCGGATAACCAGCTATCATCATACCAAATTTCATCAAAATCTTTCCAGTGGTTTTCTCGTGATTTAGATTTTCCAAAAAATATTTAATGTACAGATTCGGCTCAGTTAGAATTTTACTATACGAGTATTTATAGATTTAGGTACCAGCTTTCACAATTTTGCTAGAGAAAAAATAACTAAAAAAATCATCTTTATTTAAAAACATACTTTTTAATATGTAAATAGTATTAAAAACTTATAGTAATAAAAAACATTAATAGTTCTAAAAGAAAATATTACCTTGCATTTGGTTCTACATATATTATATTTACTTTCAAATGAAAGTTTCATTCCTTCAGGGTAAGAAATAGTTATTAATATTTATTGGTCCAAGCTTTTATTAGCTTCACGTATGTATGTATACTCAAACTCGTAAGAAACATGATGGAAAGTGGATTTGTATCTTAACATAATTTTAAGTGCGGTATATATGTATTTAATTTTGGTATGAGTAATTTAGGTGGCAATATAGTTGTAAAATACATAATAACAAACTGGTAAACCCTCGTGACTCTATCATTCAGATCGGATGGTAGAGACTCCAACTTTAAGGACTACCAATATGAAAAACGTTAGAACTTGGGCTCTTTTGATTCGTTTAACGAGTACGTAACGTATATATCGCACTTGGCAAAACTTTGTGTTTATTGCGTTTTTTTTAATTTCTAAAACTATACCTAATAGTATTTTTAATCGAAGAATTAGCTTACAATCAGGGCCTAAAAAAAGGCAAATCATAATATATAAAGTAAATAAATATTAATAGGTAAAAATTAAACACTTGTATGAATTTATTTTATATGATTTTAAGAGAAATCTTTAAAAAATAAAATTAAAAGATAAATGTATGTATGTATGTATGTTAACCTTAATATGGCACACTTACTAATTTAATGTCATTGGTTGATCAATTTGGGTTAAAATAGAATATTTTAAATAGACTTTTCGATCTACTATAGAAATATCTTTCCAACTTTGGGGTTTCCTTAACATTGTTTGCGTAATGCTTAGGCATTCACGTTATTTCATAAGAACGATGGGCGGTTTGCGAAGTGGGTCAATAGATTATGGTCTAAGATCATGTTGAAATACCAAGTTAGAAATGATTAAAGTTTTAGGAGTGGTTTTGAGATTTCCGCGATACTTTAGTTTTTGTTTCGTTTATTTAGAATTTAAAAATTATCGGTTAGTTGATTATGAATAAAGATATTTTTATGCTTAGTTACATTGTTTTAATTGTTAAGAATATCATTTCAATGTTTTGATTCTTATAATTTAGAATGAATTTATTATAATTTACACAATAACGAATTTTGTTGCAGATAAATAAAATGGCGACATCCGTCCTTCAGCCCGAAGAATGCAGACGAGAACTTGAGCCTATCCCAGACAACCCCAGACTTACAGACGATGAAAGAATTGCCATCCTGGAATCCAAGGAGCGAGAAACTGGTGAACTTCCACCAGAACTCCGAGAAAGAGCCAGAGTAGATGTCAGAGAGGAGCCTGCCATTCGAGACCATGCGCTTGCGCAGATGAGACACTTTATTGACAAACACCCGGCTATCAAGAAATGCAGGACTGGTATATTAGTTCATATACATATATACGTATTATGTGGATATGTAAATGGTTTAGAGTTAATGTAACTTTTTTATACAAGTACATATGTATGTACATGTATATGTACCTATACATTATATGTAATTATTAATGTATTTAATGATTTTTTAAACAAAAATATAAGCCATGGTTACCTTAAATTTCAGGCTGAATAACGATTAGAGTTTAAACTTTGTATCACTATATATATTTTATACGACCATGACGATAATTTTAAGAAACCGAATTTATTTTTTCCTGTTTACGCTTAGACATATCTAAGCATGCGCGTCTGTCTAGATAGGCAATTGTTAATGGTATTACCATCTAAATCGAACCTAAATCGAAATTGATAAAGTATGAATCTTTTAATAGTGTAATATCGTTTTTTTCCAGATGCACCATTCCTACTTCGATTCCTTCGCACAAAAAAATACTCTATCCCACAAGCCTGTTCCATGCTGGAGCGATACTTGACTATCCGGCAGATGTATCCGCACTGGTTCCAGAAGCTGGACCCCCTGGACCCTAAGATAGCTGCGGTAATTGATGCGGGATATCTATTACCGTTGCCAAAGAGAGATGCTGAAGGACGGAGAGTTGTTTTATCTTGCATGGGTAAGTTTTGGACCTTTCATCTGAATAAGTATAAAATTACTTAAAATAGGAAATGGATTGTTATTTAACAATGAAAATGTAATAAATAAAACGCTATAATAATATTGTCTATCATAATTCTTTACTAATAGTCTAAGATACCATCTATGTGGTGGGCCCTTCACTCTTTTCCAGGTGTAATTTTTTTTAAATATATGTGTGTGAAAGGTAGCTTGAATTATCTTTCTTAAATGAAGCAAAGAAATTTGAGAATAACCGACTCAAAATACGTGTTTTTCAACCAACTTCAAAAAGGAGGAGGTTCTCAATTCGACTGTATTTTTTTTAAATGTTTGTTACCTCAGAACTCCGTCATTTATTAACCGATTTGGAAAATTTTTGTGTTGTTTGAAAGTGTATACTTCCAGATTGGTCCCATTTAAATTTCAAAAAAAATACCACCCCTAAGGGTGGAAAAATAGCTAATGATGAATTTAACCTACTTCTAATTGTCATATTGACTTGAAACTTTACAAGTGTTTCTATTTCCGTTGATAGTACAGTGGTTCGGTATTGTTGATCTGATCTGATGGTAAGGCCAGAAGGTGGATAGGTGGAACTCTTCAACGGCTAATAGTAGATACTTTGAGTTTGGGCTAAGTAATTAAAGCCTACCTATTAAATACATACCTAATCAAATATTTTCGAAATCGGTGCCAGCCCATACAAAGCAAAGCATACCGACTTCGAAAATATTTGATTAGGTATGTATAGTAAATGAAAACTACCAATCAGTTATTTTTTACTTTTTAGTGCTTTTGTTTGCAGTCGGTTTTTATTTTTTTGTTAAAAAGTTTTTCCTTATTATATAAGTAGATTTTTATAGTTTATACTTTATAGCCCGGAGATTGACTTATTATGTGACTTAAACTTACGATATAAATTATTTGGTACCTACATCAGGATTCCTACAAAATATTACCTACTATGTTGCAAAAGGTTTCGCTACCAATACCTAATTGAGAAAAAATATTTCAGGTCGTTTCGACCCTCATGTGTACGACAGCTGCGTAATGGCGCGCGTGCATTCGATGATTGTAGAACTACTGTTAGACGAACCTCGCTCGCAATTACTAGGATACACTCATGTTAATGACGAGGCTGGTATGCAAATGCCCCATGTAAGTCTATGGTCGCTCACCGATGTACGGGTTATGCTGAATTGTATTCAGGTAAAGTATATTAAAAATAAATATAATTATACATATTTTATTAAGCTTATGTTTAAAATTATGAATTAACTATATCTTACATTTTAAAATGGTTTTTCAAAAAAATTGTTTTCATTACTTTAGTCTCAAGTGAGTAAAAAAGAATACATTGAATTACGAAAGTTGTATCTTTCTAGAATTCTAGATCATAGTTTAAGAATTAGCCAATGATAAGCAATTATGAACATTTCATTAATGAATATATTGACAGTTTTAATGATAAATATCGACCTACTTAATTAATATTTCACATATTCTGCGATGATTATTGGTCCTTGTTCTATTGAAAACTATTTATTAAAATCGTCATAGACTCGACTCTTGCTAATGCAAATCATTCTTTTAAATTTTAACGATATTATTTAATTACAGAATTCTACACCCATGCGCCACAAACGTACCCATTTTGTCAATATACCGCATTATGGTGTTAAGTTCTTCGAATTTGCGGTCTCATTGCTTAGTGATAAGCTTAAAGATCGAGTTATGGTAATAATAACTTAATAAATAATATTTAAATTCTTAATTATGTTACAAAAAACTTACTTTTATACCTATTCAAATATTAGCCTGTATGTTTAAAAAAAGTCTTATCTCATTAAATAAGATATTATATTAATTAAGTTTTAATGAATTATTTATATACAGAAACATAATATTATGTAACTGGTTGTGAACTTAAAATTTAATATAAAAATTATATTTGCCGCTAAATTTTCTAACGTTAAATGCAAGCTTATCGTAATGTTACCAGTCTAAATATTTTTTGTTCTCATTACTAACTTCACTTCAAATATTTTTATTTTAATATCTCTATCATCTTCTTTGATGCGACTTTTCTAGAATATTTTGTCGTTTGTTATTAGAATATTACAAATGTAATAATGTGACACTGTTAATATATTTTTTGTCTATGCCTACAAAATAAAAATATAAAACTAAAAAATATAAATGTTTTTTAGTTCCATCGTTCATCAGAAGATCTCAGAAAATATGTCGATCCTGCTATACTACCTAAGGAATATGGCGGTGCAGTTCCACTAAAAGACATGATTGATGAACTGAAGCGCAAGCTTTTAAAGCACAGGGAAGATTTACTGGCATTGGACGACATGTGCATTGATTTGTACGCGCTTGAGAAAAATGATCTTACTCAAGATATACACTCTACCGCAGGATCGTTCAGAAAATTGGAACTAGATTAGATTTAAGTTAAGAATAATGTATAAGTTCTTATTTTAAAAATATTCAGGCTCAGCTTTTTTTATATAAGCGCTACGCTAAAATAAAAATATAATTAAATCTGTGTTCTGATAGCTAAATAATATAATGTGATAGATCTCATAATTTTGTATTGATAATATTTCTATGTCTATCGCTATATTATATGAATGTTATATAGTAAGAATAATAAAACATAAATAAAACAATAGATAAGGAATAAAAAAGAAATCATTTTCTGTCTGCCTAATAATAAAAATATTTCTACTATGTAACTATTAAATAAACTAGGAGGGTAGCGGCAGCCGTCGGTGGAGTCACGTTACCATTCTAACAAATATATCATTGTAAATGTATATATTGCAATGAATTTTTATAATAATTTTTCTTAAAATAGCTACTTTAATTAGCAGTGTGATTGACATGACAACCTGACTGCTGCATAAAAATTATATACATAATATGTTATTCTGCTTATAACTAACTTTCTAAGCCATGTTTGATGACTTTTACTGGAATGGTAATTGTAGGATTCCGTTTTGTGGAATTTATTTTAATTATTATTGTAAATGTTTTTAATAAAGACGTCTTTGTGAAAACGCCTATACTTATTTGCCTTTGTATTCAGTATAAATATAAATAATAATTTTCCCCAATTTATTCATTAATGTTTTATTAAATCATTCATATATTCATAAAATAAATCGGAAAACACACACAAAAGTGTTACCCAATGTAGATATTTAGTATAGCAACAATATCTTGTATACATATCAAAAACATTATTACTTATTAGTATTTATATAGTTACAAGTATCTATATTGAATGGTTAACTTTTTGAGTTTCTGAACGATTACCACAGACTACAGAGTAACCTTGAAATTGCGAACCGAAATGTAGCTAACTTCAATGTAGTTTTTCCCGCAGTTTGGCGTCCACCGATTGATAAAAGAATTTTAACACGAATTTTCTATGTATATAGATCAATAAGACATTTCATTATCTTTATGATTTGTTTTCTAGTGATGCTTTTATAAAGTTATTATGTTGTTTCCGTGATTGCTTTGTTTGGGTTATCCTGCTGTGGTGATTTTTGTAAACATCGGGAACACAGGCCCCACGTCTATGACTTCTTGTAAGTATTTTAGCCATTATCGGTATACTATACCAAAATTTGCAATATGCATGTAAAAATTAAATGTTTATACACATATTTATAGAATGATCGACGGTATATTAACCTCTAAATATTGATATGTTTATTTGGACATAAAAGCTTCATGTAATGGAATAGCGGTTGGTAAGCTAATAGATTGCTTCTCGAAAGGAACCACGAATGCAATTGTGTTGTTCAAAACAAATGTGCATTTACCGTCTAAGCTGGACTGATTCTATATTGGATTATGATGTATACCACGTCACAAATATGTTATGATTTCATGACTGGTAAATGTTTATACACAGAACAATATTGTCTTACATGCAGATAACATAATTTTTTTTTAAATCTTTTAAGTTAATTTCTAGTGTGTTTTTGGATTCCACTATTAATTATTACTTTTTTTTAGAAAAATAACAAATTATACCTTAAAATAATCTACCTATTGATGTTAAGTTGTTAGAAGTCAGAAATATTGGATGTGCCATACCCAAGTTTCTAATAAAGATCTTGATATTATCAATACATCATATTATATTAGCAATGCTTATTTTAAAATTACACTATCCATTTGTATGGTTAATCAAACATTTCAAAGATGCATAGAATGATCTAAATAAAGAGCAATAACATGGTTCTAATGCTTTCATGTGTAACCAATGTGGCATTTGTAGGAGTTCTTTAAGTATCTGTATATAAATACATATTTGTTTTGAATAGAATCATTAATTTTTTTTTTTAATATTATGCTAAAAATTTATAGAGTCAAGATAAAAGGCTAAAAGTAATTCCAATATTTTAAAATATACTGAACCAAAAGTGTGGTGCTTTCTTAGATTTACATGAATATTTAATATTTTAAATAATGCTATCTTTTTAGATTTTTTCACAGATTTATTTAAATTTTTGGTTCCCTACTTTCCAATACTTTACAGCAATCACATTCAGTAGAGACTTGTAATGAAAAGATATTTAATAGTGCGATGCTATATTTTTGGGCCCTTTTGAGATATGAAATACCTTCAATTTCTTATTTGTTTGTTGATATGCTCAAAATATTATTTAAAAAGATTGTTCAATAGAGAAGATTTTATAACCTCTTTATTAACATAAAATAAAACTATGCCATAGAATAATTTGATTATGCAATTTCAAATGTGCAGATCTAAGATAATTTAAGAAATCAAGATCATCATTGCACAAACCCGCTTATAAAACAAAGAAAATATAAAATTACTAGCATTGCCTGCGGCTCCGCCTGCATTCAGATAACCAAATACCAAATTCTTAGGTTTTACATATTACTCTTACATTGCAGTTTTTGTATTTTTTCTCAAAAATGAGATATTTTCCTGTGGTAAAAAGTATCCTATATGTTGAGCCGGATAACCAGCTATGATTATATCAAATTTCATCAAAATCACTCCATTGGTTTTTCTGTGATTCGGTAACAGACAGACAGACAAACAGACAAAAACTATAGATTCGGCCTCTGTATCGATAATAATGTTTATTTCAATAAGATTTTCCAAAATATATCTGTACAGATTTGGCTTAGTTACAATTTTATTATATGTATAGATTATAATATATATTGTGGGTCTAATAATTTTCATAAATCTTGATTATAATAAAGTTGTAGAATTACATACATATAAATAAAATTTCAATATATTGGAAATACAATAACATGATGGAATTGTGAAATAAATTAAAATATTATCATCTTACATAACCATATATATATGACAATTTTGATATTCAATTCAATTTTCTTGTTAATGTCTTCAAAGCATACCTGTTGGGCATTGATTACTTCACCAATGTCAAATTATAATTAAAAGAAAGCCTTCTGTAACATTAATATGTTGATTTAAGGCCAATTATTAAATTAGATAAAAATTGTGACATGTTACTATGTTTTTCAAAGGGTATATGTAGACATTTTAACACTGTTCTGCGCATTAGCTTTATATTTAAAATCTTTTGAGTTCTATGTTTAATTTAAAAATAAATTTATTGCAAAGTGAAAATTATTAAAATTTGAATCTATAATGATAATATAGATACAAATTTTTAATTTTAATTTCAGAAATTTCCAAATTTGTTTTTGTACAATTCTTATAAGTATATATAGTATTCGTCCCTAGTCCCTCTATTTATTCTTTCAAAAAAAAAACAGCACCTTCTCACTCAATTAAATCAAAAATTATCTTAATTACTATTATTATGTATTGTATTATATTATAGATATGTATATATGAAAGTAGTAGTGTGTATGTACATAAGTATGTATGTTAAAGTAAGTAGTGTATATTATATGTTATTATATATATTATTTAATTAGCTATATATTTTTGAGTATATATTATTTATATAACTACAACTGCACGAATTTAGCCCGCTTTGTAACACTATTTCTCACTACCATAGGTTGGCTGGAAGAGATCTCTTCTAGAGATAAGTCCACCTTTGCAAATAACAACTATTTTTAAATTACTGTATTGATTTTTTTGTGCAATAAAGAATAGTAATAGTACATACTTATATTATTACGTACATATACATTTAACTATAGCAAGTAACTTTATTGGGCCCACACTTTTTCTTTTAGACAGAGAAAGAATTAAAGTTATAATAACTTCAATGAAGTTTATAGTTTGTCAATTATACCCAGAATAGCATTCAGGTGTACTTGCATATAATTTTTTTGTTTAAAAGTTAGAGTTCCAAATTTTATTTAAATATTTTGTACATAGTGTGGAACTAGCAACTGACCCTCGCTTCGCTCGGACGCATCCCTGCGCCCTAGTCTTTTATGGATTATTTTTTTGGTTTGTGCGGAACCCTTATTCTTTTTTAAAACAAAAGTATAAGTTATTTACTTCTTATAATATCCGTTATCTGCCAGTGAAAGTCCCGTTAAAATCGGTCCAGCCGTTTTCGAGATTAGCCGGAACAAACTGAGAGACTGACAAGAATTTTAAAAATTGTATTTTTTCTTCTAAGTACTGTATATGTAGTTTCTTAAGTATTTAATAAAAATCTGTTATTTTGACATCATAAACATACACTTCAATTTTATTTATCTATCTAGATATGTACACTCCTTTCTGATCAATAGCTATGTAATTATTAGAACTATATGTTAAAAACTATTTTTTGGTATGGACTTATTAAAATATTGTTTTCCATACAGATTGGCAGCATGGCGGAAATAGTGTACCCGCAAGGCTGCCGCCCAATCACCGATGACCTTGGACCAGATGAACTTGTTCGAAGACTTAAGGTATGTAATGATGGTATAAATGTTTGAATTTATTATAAATATTTTTATACCAGACAAAGCGCCCAGGCATAGCCTAGGCAGCCGTTAGTGTTTTATAAAGCCTAGAAATCAGATTCATTTCTCAGTTAATACATATTAATCTACTAGCGGCTTACCCTCGCTCTGGTCGGATTCATCCCTAGTTACGTTTTAACGTTTAGTATAGATTTCTCAGAGATGAGATGTGTCCTCGCAGTAAAAAGTATCCTATATGATGACACGAATAACCAGCTATCATCATATAAAATGTCATCAAAATCCCTCCAGTGTTTTTCTGTGATGGGATCACTGACAGACGGACCAAAATTCTAAAAACTAGAGATTCGACCTCTCTAACGACAATAATGACTATTTCAATAAGTTTTTCCAAACAATATTTAATGTACAGATTCGACTGTTAGAATTTTATTATATGTGTAGATTTAGATTGATAATAATTAGGTGTTGATTGTAAAGACCTAAAAATTTGAAAAGAAGAAAATTTGATTATTTTGATCATTCAATTATGGCGCATATAACTTTCCTTGTTACCTCTATAATGTCAGTTTCTGTTCGTATATTAATATGATTGATAAAAATGTACTTGTATATGATTAAAAATGTTAGCTCAGGCGTTTAGATCAGATTACCAGTAGCTACATAATTATAATAAAATTCTGAGTCGAATTTTTATGTAAGTACATAAAATATTTTTTGGAAAATCTTATTGAAATAGTAATTATTATTTAGTATCGATACAGAGGCCGAATCTATAGTTTTTAGAATTTTTCTGTCTGTCTGTGACCTCATCACGAGAAAACCACTTGACAGATTTTAATGAAATTTGTATGATGTCAGCTCCAATTTTGTATGATGATAGCTTATCAGGGTCAACATATAGGATACTTTTTAGTGTGAAAAAATATCTCGTCTCAGGGAAATCTATACTAAACGTCAAAACGTAACTAGGGAGGAACCCGAGTAGAGCAAGACTGAGTCGCTAGTATGAAATAATTACAGATAGCATAAGAACGGTCGCTGACTTTTCTACTCGGAGAGTCCCATTAGAACAACAACTTAATTAATAAAAATAATATGGTAGATCAAGTCTTCTGATAATTTAAGCATTCTTGTATGTAATATGAAATCCTGGTTTGCTATTGGAAGGGTTATCAACTTGAATTTTTAATGACAAAATAAATGATTGCCGATTTCAAATTAGCATTTTAACAGCTATTGGGTATCGTTTAAATTTTAAGTGTAGCTGGCTGAGACCGATATCGCCCGCAAGTTTTTTTATTGATGTAGGGGAAATTCTTGTAAGATACAGGATCCTTTTTCGGAGGGATAAAGTTATTAAAATGTCGCAACTTATTTTGACTGAATTGGGTATATGTATATTAAATTCAAAAATATATATAATAATAATAATAATAATAATAATAATTTATTTATCTATACTATTATTATAAAGAGGTAAAGTTTGTGATCTTGTGAGTTTGTGAGTTTGTGGGTTTGTGAGTTTGTGAGTTTGTGACGTTGTAGGGGGTAATCTCTGGATCTAATGAACCGATTTTCAAAATTCTTTTACCAATAGAAAGCCACGTTCTTTCTGAGTGTCATAGGCTATATATTAACCCGAAAAATGAAAAGGCTTTTTCGTGGTAGTCGGATTTGCAAAGTAAGTCGGAGAAAAAACGGTCGAACGAAAAGGTTTCTTACGAACGCTGCCTTAACGATGAGAGATATATGATTATGTTCAAGAGAAAAGTTGTAGAACTTAATAATGCCTACAAAAAAGTCAGCGACAGCATATGTCTAACTTTTATATTTAAGTCACAAAAAGTAGTTTTTTATATTAAAAAAATCATTTAAATCGGTAGGTCATGTTTATTGGTCATATTATCAACAATTATGAATTCTTATCAAAATAAGTAAATTTATCGTCTAAAATGTTTAAAATAAAAGACTTTTCCCTTTTACTGCATATAATTTGGACAAATGGTTAAAGAGATAATACAACATATTCGTATGTATGGACGAATCTGAGCGAGCTGTTTATCTGTTTTTCTCTTTGTACGGGCTAATCTCCAGATCTATTGGACCTATTTAAATGAAATTTTGCATGGTGGTACCTTATATCCCCGGGCAACATCTTAGATACTTTTAATCCCGGAAAATTAAAGAGTTCCCGTGGGATAGTTAAAAAACTATAACAACTTATACAGCTTAGTACACAAAAACTACTGATTGGATTTTAATGAAACTTTACAATAATATAGTTCATACATGACAAAAACAAATCAGCTACTTTTCATCCCAGAAAATTAAAGTTTCCGTGGGATAGTCAAAAAACTATAGTAACTTATACAGCTTAGTACGCAAAATAACTGATTGGATTTTGATGAAACTTTACAATAATATAGTTCATACATCAGAATAACAAATAGGTAACTTTTTATCCCGGAAAATTGTACTTTTCCCGTGGGATAGATGTTTTTGTTTATTTGTAACGTATTATGTACACAACATAGACCCCAAAACAATAGTTATTAAAAAATTTCCTAATTGTCTGTTTGCCTGTATGTCTGTTTGTCTGTTTTTGTGTGTGCGTTTTACGCCTGAACAGTAATGTACTAATTTCAACGAATTTTGGTGAAGTGATAACTTATTACTCGAGTCAACATTTAGGGTACCTTTTGTATGTATGTATGTTGTATTCAGCCCTTTTTAACACATGCACGGGCCTCCCTTCAGTACGAGGTGGATCAGGCCATAGTCCACCACGCTGCCCAAGTGCGGGTTGGTGGACTTCACATGTCTTTCGAAAACTTGCTAGGTTATGTCAGACATGCAGGTTTTCCTTCACCGTTACGACAAGTGGTAACTGTGTTAGAAATGATTCGCATATGAAAATATCACTCGGTTTCTCAAGTGAGCGCGTTACCACTGGGATACCACTGCCTAGATACCTTTTACTTAAAGAAAATCTTTCTTTCCAACGGGAAAATACAATAACTGGTTTTATCGAGTCCTCCCTAGAAACCTTCCTCTGACTAAGTTTAAGACATACATCAAGACAATATACTAAAAAATTGTAGGTCTTGAAAAAAGTCCTACAGAAAAGTTGTGAATAGTATATGTCTATCTTCTAAGTTACACTCGCAATATTTATTCTTATCTATACCTATAATAAAACTTAGTCAAATCGATGTGCGCGTTTCACGCAAAAAGTACTCAACCAATTTTAACTTAATTTTGTATAGTCATAAAACTTAGTGCTCGGGTCAACATTTAGAATACTTTTTACGACAGGCAAATTACTCATTCCCACGGGAAAATACAATAACTGGTTCTATCGAATTGTCCTTAGAAATTTATATGGCTAACGTTGGCTCAACCTTAAGAGATAGATCAAAACATTGTATAAGAAAATTGTAAGTCTTAAAAAGGTCTATAGAAAAGTTCTACATAGTATATGACTATCTCCTAAGGTACACTCGCTATAACTATTTTCATTATTATATATTTCTGTTTTATTATACGTTATTTATTCTATCTGAATATAGGTACATATATGAATAATAAAACTGTAGAGGTCGAATGTCTGTACATAGATGGTAGAAAAAATTGCTAAAAAACAAGTCAGTTCTCTTCTTACATCCCGTAAGGAGAGAAATAGAACAAATCTAGATTTTTTCAATTTTTTTGTTTCTCTGTCTGTTTGTCTGTTCGTACGGGCTAATCTCCGATACTATTGAACCTATTTAAATGAAATTTGATACTTTTCATTCCGGAAAATTAAAGAGTTCCCGTGGGATAGTAAAAAAATTATAGTAACTTATACAGCTCAGTACACAACAACTTATGCACCTAATTTAGTAAAATTTGGCATGGTGATACCTATACCTTATAATGCAGCTCAAACAACAGGTTACTTATTTTATTTTTATCCCGGAAAAATAAACGGTTCCCGTGGGATAGATCTTTTTGTGCTTTTCTAGAGGTGAACCCGAGCGAAGCGAGGGTGAGCCGCTAGTTGTACTATATAAAAAGTGACAATATAAGGGGTACGTTATGAGTTTTTTTTAACGTTGTGAAATGCATTTACGCATACCACCCGCATGCATAGAGGTGGTTATGTGGGAAGCTAGATAAGGCAGTACCGCCCACTAAAACCCAACAGAACCTTCCCCGTCTTAATTGGGTGTCGCAGGATCGCTTACGCACTCAACTACGACGCCCCAAACGTTATGAGTCTACCACAAGTACGAAAATAAAGCTTCGGTCCTGAAAAAATCTCCTAAAATAGTATATACATTTGTATAGCTAATGCAAACATCATGCGCAGGAATCGAATTCGTCACTTTCGGGATTTTTACACGAAATAAACCAGCAACAACTGGTGAAGTTTGCATGCTATTATTGCTAAAATAAAATATTTTATTTATATTTATGTTCCGAATAATACTGAAAGTAGTGTAAACATTCTATGACAGCTTTATAACAAGGACACAGGACAAAGAACATATGGTTGACCCATTTTTATTAGCTTGTGTTCAATGCACAATGCATAGAGACGGAGCGGTCTATATTTAGACCTCTCTTTTTTAAATTTCACGGTTTATATATTAAAAAATTCAATTTGTTTATATTGTAGGTTGAAAAAATATGTTTTTCATTGAAATATTATGATGAAAAAATATCCAGTAGGAATGAAGTCGACTTTGTAAATTGAATGTTACTCTAGTGATTGGTTTTGGGAATGTTTATAGTTGAGTAGCCATAACAACAGTTTTTCAATTGTAATTTCGCTTGCAAATGCCTTCACAACAAGATGTCGAAAGGCGTGATTTACGTACAACTATTTACTGCCTTTCTATTATCTTTCTATAAAAGTATAGGTATAGATACTAATTGAAAAAAATCTTTTGCCAATAAATCAGGGTTCGAAACGATAATTATCATTGATAATTATCATG